TACACACACACACACACACAGAGAGAAAGAGAGAGAGAGAGAGAGAGAGAGAGAGAGAGAGAGAGAGAGAGAGAGATGAAAAAGAGAAAAGTACTTTAAAGGTACAGACAAAAGACAGTGGTGTGCTACTGCCCTTGGATCACCAAACTGACCACCTTGCCGTACACACCTATTGCTGTGATACAATGTAGTTATTGCGCACCCTGGGATTATTTCGCTTATTTCCAACACCGAGTGGTCGGTCACTTCTTGTCAGTATCAGTCACACAGTGGACGGACGAAAGGTCATCTTGCTTATCACATCAGTGACGTCATACATTTCTGGCAGACACATCGTGACCGAGATACTATTACATGCAGGAGAAATTACACGCTCGCAGACATAGAGGCACACATAAGCTACGTGGAACACGAGCGTGAACATAATAAACTTGCAGAAGCGTACTCACAAGTACAACCACAGAGATATGTATTGTAGTTGAACCTGCTCTAACGGGGCCACCTGTCCAAAAGAATTGCCTGATCAAACAATCACTTCTCACTTCCCCGTGTGTGTGTGTTGGTATTTTTTAAAGTAATAAAGCGGCATTGCCCATGACGTTCACCTGTTGTTGTTTTTTTTTCTTGTTTTTTTTTGGGTAAGTGTTTTACGACGCTCGCAACTGCACAGGTCATATAAACTCGCGGGACACATTAATTTTGTTGGTAATAAATTAATTTTGAATTATGCACGGGTGGCGGTCGAAGCCTACTCTTATCGATTTTGAACCACCAGAGGATCTTTACATTACGCAACTTTTTCACAGGACCTCCAAGATTTTTCAGCTTTATCCGAGAAGGCTAGGCGTTAGATCTTACCTACCCTAAGATAAGAGCTGTAGCTGAAAGACAGCAGTTAGGAGTCCAGAGTAGGAGGCAATGAAGGGTTGGGTGGGGATGGAGGTAGAAAGTGGAAACGAATGCAGACGACAGAACATGGTTATAGAAGAGAAAAGTTTAGAGAAAAAAATGTCTGTCGCTGTTAGGTTTCGAACCAGGGACCAATTGAATGAGAGGCAAACACAGTAACCTCTAGCACACGAGAGCCCCCTTCCACATCATGTCTAAGATAACCACTTTTCTCCTCAATAATGGGTAGCCATCATGGTCAATTTCGATCGCGTAAAATTGAGAAAAGATCTTTTCATAGGTTTAGAAACACATATGATATCTTTCTTTGATTCAAATATTTTTTTTCCACAGAAATGTATTCCTTACTGGGTCTTGGCGGTGGCGGGGAGAGTACAGGTTTGTGTCAGTGTATGAACACTTTGCCCACCAGAAGTCGGGCGTGGTACACCTTATTTCAGTGCTTGTCAACCTTTTTTTCGCTTACACCCACTTTTGCCACCTTTAAAGAGCCTACATTTTTTAACACCCCCTTACATGTATTTCCAAGCTGGACATTAAAAATACCCCAACAACAACAATACATGACCACCACCCGGGAGATCCCCGACATACATCAACCTAAAGTGGGCGATTTTGCCCTTTTTTAAAATTTTTATTTTTTGTTCCCTGTGCTGCGCTTTTCTCCCAAATCTCACTGTTGTTGGGTCATGTAGAATTCTGATTATTTTGTTATCTGTGCTGGG